AAGAGACCGAATGGCAAAAAAAGAACCAGCAACAACAGCACACTGCTGACCGTCGCAAATGATCCCATGGGCCACCGAGAGGGGTCATTCGAGGGGACCGTCTTTAGCGGGTTAAGAGCAACAGCAGCACTGAAGGGGGGAGGTGGCAACTTCGTTTGTGTGTGCAACGTTGCATCACGAGATAGTTGCCAGAGATATGCATACGAAATTGGAAATGCTAATTAATATGTTTTGCACAGCAGATACGAGGCGATATCCACACATCCTCGGTGGCTCTGTTTACATAAGCGTTAACTGCTCACCCGCACTATCTCGCTCTCGCTGTCTTTGTCCCTGTCTCGCTAGCCATGGCCATCTCTTTCCCACACCCAGTTGGAGATTATTAAATTAATTTTTATTAGGCGTCAAGCCGTAAAGAACAGCTGAGATGGATGACTGGATGGATGGACGGATGGTTGGATGGTTGGACGGAGTGAAGACGGAGTGAATTGAGTGCCGGAATGAATGAATGAATGGCAAGCTCACATGACAACGCGTTATAATTAAGAACAATGGCAACTTATTCAACATATTCAACATATTCTTCTGAAATCCATTGCCCCGAACGGCTGGCCGGCGGGACCCAGCCATATCTTAACTGATTTGTAAGCGGGACTCTACTCTGTCCCGTCGGTTCTTTTTTAACACCGCTCGCTGACACTTGACGGATTCCATTGCCAATTGCCGTGACATGTCATCGCCCGGGAATTTAATTGCAACGCCCTGAGAAGCGGTACGTCATCTCTATAGGGTAATAAAAACAATGACCAGTTGGGTTTCCTTTGGTTGAGTAATGGAAATGTTTTTAATGGCATTAATCAAGGATTTCTTAGTAAAATATTATTATTAATATTTATTAATCCCTAACAAATAACCCCTATCTTTATTTTTTAACAGAACTTATATAACCCAAATATAGGCAATGTTAAGCAAGGTCAGCCACCTGTTACTCCAAAAAAACAACAGAGATCCGCAAACAACCCCGTTAATGTAAGCAAAACAGGAAGTTCCTCTGAGAAGATCTTCCCAAGCGATTTCCAGAGATGAATTCAATATCCTAATCCTTAACTATTCTAGTTTGGAAGCCACACTCAAGGGTCTCCTTTCTTCATACGCCTTAGGCGTCCCTCAAAGCGGTCATTGTCTCCGGATGAATATAAAAAAAAGCAATTCCAATTACAAGCCAAAAAAATAAACACAACAAATGAAATTTTTCGCAACCGGCAGCTGGCGGAAAATGAAAATAAAAAAGAAATAATAATAATGTACGGGTATCTACAAAAGAATCGGTGCCCATGAGTCATGTGACTGTGACCCAATGAGCAATATAAGCGCCCAGCACCCACAAGATACAGATACTCGACGGCGGGCGGCGGCGTACACGTCTTTGGCAACCCAAGACAAGCGAAACGATTACAAAGAAAAATAATTTGCGCAAATGGAAAATGAAAGAGAAACGAGAACGATCAGTCATCGTAGGGAAATGTGGCCCCCTCTCGACGAACTCCACTGAGCCATAGACTCGACTAATCTAATCAAATCAAATCAATGCTGGAGGAACCGCCCCTCGTATACGGTTACAGATCCCAAAAGTACACCAAAGAGATCCTTACACTTGGAGAAATGGTAAAGGAATATGAACTATAGAAGAAAATTTGGAAATATTAGAAATATTTCATATAAGTTTGGGAAAAATTAACATTATTTGGTTAGCGAATGTTAATTTAAGGCATTTTAGTTTATTTTCTGCTATATTAATACATAAAGTTGAATTACCTTACAGGTTCCAAACCACATATTTTTCCTAAGTGCACCACACCCATCCCTTAACATATTGTGCAATCCCAAAGACTAAGCCAATTCTTTCTATACCCAAGCACTTCCTGGCTTACACCAACTGGCCTGATCGATCGATCTGGCGCGATAAAGAAAAATCATAAAACGACTGGGAGAAAAGAAAGAAAGGTACAAGGCAGGAACAAACAATTGAGCGAGGATTGTAACAAAATCCTAGCCAAAGATATCGCTATAGCAGCCAATCTGTTTACCTGAGGAATCAGGATGAGAAATGAGTATGAGGACGATCTGGAGAGGTGAGATGAGGACAGAAAGACGATGTTTGCACGGTCAACTTTCAACACAATTTGTAGGCTACCTGCAGTTTGCTCAGACGGAGGCTTGGGTGTGGGTTTTCCTGAGAACGGCGAACGGCGAACGGGAGAGATCCATCTCAAACGGACCCAGTACCCGTAGCCGTACCCGATTCCATACCAACCCATCCCATACCATCCAGTCCAAACAAGCTGCTTGGCTAACTGGCTGACTGATACGCATCGCTTGGGATGTGTTTGGTTAATCAGCACCTGTCGACTCAACGGGCGTCGACAGGTACAACTACAACTTCTATATAAATATATATATATATACCATATACAGTTCCGATCGAAATAATAGCAGTGCAAATCAAGGGTTTAGTTACATCTGAAGGGGTTTTATTTGTCAGTTTGAGTGGTTATTTTTAAGTTAATAACATAGGACGAGCTCTCTGGTCTCAGCCATTAGCTTGCAGCTTTACCCTTGAGTGCCTCAAAATTAATTGGGCTTGAAATAAATGCAACGTTTGCGATAATCTGTTTTCACCTTTCATTTAAGTTGAGTTTAAAACGAAAATATCTTAAGTGGGGTGCATTTAGGTTTAAGATACATATTTTAGTATAATTTCTGGTTAATAATTTTGAACATGTTATCTAAGCAGCCTTCCAATAGGTAATTAATTATTCTCTCTTTATTTTGTCTTATTAGAATAATTTATGGCAGCGGATAAAAGATATTAACTTTAGTTTTAGCTTTCTAGGATATAAATTTGTTGCCATTTCCAAGCTTAAAACTCACTTTTATTTACATTACAAAATTGTTGAATCAAAAACATTCCCATTTCAGCGAATTAAAAACTCAACTTCAAGTGTTTAATGAGATTTTTCGTTGATTAAAAAACACATGTAGTATTTATTTTTCCGAACCCAGCTGTTTCTGTGTGTTCTATATAATCCCGGTAGCGATCTGTTTTGCTCGGCCCAGTGTGTGTGTTTATTTTTTGGGAAAGTTTGAAAGTGCGGTTACAACATATGGGCAGCCAGATCATGCGAAAAAAAAAAATGAGAAAAACAATATCAGATTCGGACTCGAACTTTAAGTCGGGGCTCCATCTGCGGCTCAGCCACCGTCACCTCATAATGAGTAAGCCCCCGAGTTCGAGATCTCCCCGACAAATCTCGATTGCTTGGCCGGCCAGTCAGCCACTCAGCCAGCTAGCCAGAAAGCCAGAGTCAGAGCCAGAGCCAGATAGCCAGCCGGTCCGGTCTTAAAGAAATACCAACAATCCGAATCCGAATCCGAATCCCAAACTCCAATCCCACCAACTGCTGGGGCTGCTCTCATAAATCAAGAAAAATCAGTCAATTTTTTTGTGGGCTTGCTTGCTTACGCGTGTGTGTGTGTGTGTGTGAGTGTGCGCCTATATCAAACTGACATTGGCTGAATTAACAATTGATTTCAATAATTTTTTATGATTATTCTCCGTTGTGTTGTGTTTTTTTTTTTCGTCTCGTTTTCGGTTTTTGTGGCCTGTCTGCAAGGCAGGCAAAGAAAAGCCGAAGATCAGCCACTTGCACTCGATTCTGTCAATTCAGCAAAGCGCTTCTCTCTCTCTCTCTCTCGGATATAGCTGATATAACTCATTTGCTGAATATGGAAAAGCACTCAAACTCTCAGCTGGGTTTTTGTGGAGTAGAACTCGTCTAACCGGTGTGACGAGTGTCAATGTCTCATTGGAATTGGAATTGTTTGCTCGGCTTTGACGCTCAGCGGAACCGACAGGCGGGCAACGGCGGGGTGGCCCATAGTGCGCACAGTGGGCTAAAAGTAAGGTGCCAGCTGTGGGTGTGAACCTGCTGAGCCGAGGAGTTGTTGTTTGAAGATCAAGGCTGTTGGCATGACAAATATTTGAGGTGTGGACTAATTCGATTTGATTTTAAAGCCTGAACGCCGGAAGTCGTATAAGAAGTTTGCAAAGATCACACTGGGGTTTCTCTATCCATGACAAATTGGTATTTTTACCATAATTTGTTCTGCAAACGGAAATACTATTTAAAAGTTTTAAGAAACTAGTTACTATCTATTTTAGCTGCTTAAGATTAAGCTTACCAAATCTCTCTCAAATTTTAACTTATAAATAGCTAAAGCATGATCGAAGATCAAACTTTAAAAAACTTGCCATTTTCATCTATCGACATTTTAATCTGAAACCTTAAAGAGACAACTTTAAAAATGTCTTATACATATTCATCTAACAAGCTCTTATTACCTTTTAAGCAGATTTTCCTGTGATATTTATCTAGTTTTTTGTTTTCTTTGCGGATTACATTGCCGCACTTGTTACATATTTCCTGGTTATTTAATAGTTGTCCCATTCACCAACTTCCCTAGGGAACTCTTTTAATCAGAGCAAAAAATCTTTAAGCAGATCTAACATATCGATTTACCTTATCCTTGACCCTTAAATATTGCAGATTTGGGAAGTCCTCTTTTTTGAAATATCCACATGTTTTTGTAGACCAATTTCACCTGCCCATCTCCCGCGATCTCACTTCCTTACATCCCATCTGTTCTTTGTTGCAAAACCCAATGCAAATTCTACCTGCAATACGAGTGCAATTGATTGCTATTCAGCCCACTGTGCACTGTGGGCCATTACGTGCGATGCGTTTGCGTTTGCGTTTGGATTGCATAGTTTTGTTTACTCGATCGCATCTCGCTCTAGTTCCTTGGTTCTGTGTGCGTGCTCAATGAGTGCTCACTTGCTCATTTGCTCTCATGTACTCACAGCGGCACACTAGCGGCACCTACTCACCCAGGTACTGAGATGCTCTCTTGGGTTACTCAATTCTACTCACTCACCCTGTGTATGTTGAGTGCTTTTCAGCGGCACTTGCTGCTGGCTGGCAAACGAAGAGAGCGATCAGTTTATGAGTTGACTTCGAGCCGAGCGGAAGCGCGTTTGTCGTTCAGCGGATGTAATAGAACAAAAAAAGAAGAAAAGAAATATCGCCTCGAGAAAAAATTAGAACACAATTTATCAATCGCGCTATCGCACCCCCCACTTGGATTACGGTCAACGCGAAAACTACAACAACAGCTAGAAATAAAAAGATATAGAAATCGAGAAACGAGAAACGAAAGCAACCAAAATCAAAAAAGATATAAAAGAAAACAAGAAAATCGTTTTAGTTAAAGCATTAAATCGGTTGATGTGGTGTTGTTCTTGTGAAAAGTGGCGATTGTGCAAAGCTTCGCTATAAAACCAACCAAAAGAAAATAATTACAAAAAAAACAAAACAAAAAACAACAAAAAATCCCAAATAAACACACACAAAATGGGCGAGAAATAGAACGAGCAGTGAAAGACCAAAAGAAGCCCCCTATAACCCCCTCCGGTTAAGCCAAAACAAAATCGAAACCCCATTCGAAGTTTTAGGAAATATCCAAAATGCTGGCCACCACCCACATGCTATACGTGCTGATTGCAACCTGGGTGATACCCATTTTCGGTGCTGCCCTCAGCAAGACGGTGTTGTACCAGGCTCCCGATGAATGCCGCTGGTCCGGCGGTGGGGAGCACGATATCACCTTGGTCTGTCACCTGAGGACCATCAACTCGGAGCTGGAGAACACCAACTTCAGCGTGATCCAGCCACAGAACACAGTTCGCCTGCGGTTGGAGTGCAACGATGCTCTATTCTTCCAGAGCAGCCTAAGTCCCGATAGCTTTAGGTCTCTGGTTGAGCTTAGGGATCTTACCATCGAGTACTGCAAGTTGGGAAACCTCACAGATGGCTCGTTTAGGGGTCTTCAGGAGTTGAGGAACCTCACCATTCGCACACATAATGGTGACTGGTCCACCATGTCGCTGGAGATGGCCTCCAATAGCTTCGTGGAGTTCCGCCAGCTGGAGAGATTGGATCTGAGTCTCAACAACATCTGGCTAATTCCCGATGGCATGGTATGCCCCCTGAAATCCCTGCAGCATCTGAATGCCTCATACAACAAGATCCAGGACATCAGCAACTTCTACTTTAGTGCCTCGCTGAGCTCTAGGAAAGCACGAGTTTGCGGCTCTACGCTGCAAAGTCTCGATCTGAGTGCCAACAAGATGGTTAGCTTGCCCACGGCCATGTTATCGGCTTTGGGTCGCCTGACCCATCTGAATATGGCCAAGAACAGTATGAGTTTCCTGGCTGATCGCGCCTTTGAGGGTCTTCTGTCGCTCAGGGTTGTGGATCTCTCGGCCAATCGATTGACCTCTTTGCCGCCAGAACTCTTCGCGGAGACCAAGCAACTGCAGGAGATTTACCTAAAGAATAACTCCATTAATGTCTTAGCCCCCGGAATCTTTGGTGAATTGGCGGAACTTTTGGTTCTCGATTTGGCCAGCAATGAACTGAATTCCCAATGGATCAATGCAGCCACATTTGTGGGTCTCAAACGGCTCATGATGCTCGATCTGTCGGCTAATAAGATCAGCCGCTTGGAGGCGCACATCTTCAGACCTCTGGCCAGTTTACAGATCTTAAAACTGGAGGATAACTACATCGATCAGCTGTCAGGAGGCATCTTTGCTGATCTTACCAATCTACACACACTGATCCTCTCCCGCAATCGCATCTCAGTCATTGAGCAACGCACTCTGCAGGGTCTGAAGAATCTATTGGTTCTCTCCTTGGACTTCAACAGGATATCCCGACTGGATTCAAGATCCCTGATCAACTGCAGCCAGCTGCAGGATCTGCACTTAAACGACAACAAACTGCAGTCTGTGCCCGAGGCCCTGGCCCATGTTCCCCTGCTCAAGACCCTCGATGTGGGCGAGAATATGATTAGTCAGATTGAAAACACCAGCATCACCACGCTGGAGAATCTCTATGGTCTTCGGATGACGGAGAACTCTCTTACCCACATCCGACGAGGCGTTTTTGATCGGATGAGTTCCCTGCAGATCCTCAACTTGTCACAGAACAAACTCAAGACCATCGAGGCGGGTTCTCTGCAGAGGAACGGCCAACTGCAGGCCATCAGATTAGATGGAAATCAGCTGAAATCAATTGCTGGCTTATTCACCGAGCTGCCCAACTTGGTGTGGCTGAATATCTCGGGTAATCGTCTGGAGAAATTCGATTATTCGCACATTCCCATCGGTCTGCAGTGGCTGGATGTGCGGGCCAACAGGATCACCCAGTTGGGTAACTACTTCGAGATCGAAAGCGAACTGAGCCTGAGTACCTTCGATGCCAGCTACAATTTGCTGACGGAGATTACAGCCAGCTCCATTCCGAATAGTGTGGAGGTTCTCTACTTGAATGACAATCTGATTTCCAAGATTCAGCCATATACTTTCTTCAAAAAGCCCAACCTGACGCGGGTGGATTTGGTAAGGAATCGTCTGACCACCTTGGAGCCTAATGCTCTTCGCTTGTCACCCATTGCCGAGGATCGGGAGATCCCTGAGTTCTACATTGGCCACAATGCCTACGAATGTGATTGCAACTTGGACTGGCTGCAAAAGGTGAATCGCGAGTCGCGTACTCAGCCACAACTTATGGACTTGGATCAGATTCACTGCCGTTTGGCTTATGCCCGTGGATCATCACATGTCTCCTTGATCGAGGCCAAATCGGATGACTTCCTCTGCAAATATGCCTCACATTGCTTTGCCTTGTGCCACTGCTGTGACTTCCAGGCCTGTGACTGCAAAATGGAATGCCCGGATAGATGTTCCTGCTACCATGATCAATCCTGGACCTCAAATGTGGTCGACTGCAGCCGGGCTTCCTATGAACAGACTCTGCCCTCGCACATTCCCATGGATTCCACACAGCTGTATCTGGATGGCAATAACTTCCGGGAGCTGCAGAGTCACGCATTCATTGGCCGCAAGAGGCTAAAGGTGCTGCACTTGAACCACTCCAGGATCGAAACACTCCACAATCGTACTTTCTATGGCCTTCTGGAACTGGAGGTTCTCCAACTGCAGAGTAATCAGCTGAAGGCATTGAATGGCAATGAATTCCAAGGTTTGGATAATCTTCAGGAGTTGTACTTGCAACACAATGCCATTGCTACGATCGATACTCTTACCTTCACGCATCTGTATCATTTGAAAATCCTGCGATTGGATCACAATGCCATCACATCCTTTGCCGTCTGGAACTTCCTGCCTAGCTATCTGAACGAACTTCGTCTGGCGGGTAATCCCTGGAGTTGCAACTGCGAGTTCATTGACAAACTGCGAGACTACATGAATCGTCATGAGTATGTGGTGGACAAGCAAAAGATGAAGTGCGATGTGATCAGTGGAAATAACACCCAGCAGATGGTTATATACCCAGGATCCGGAGAGGCTAGTTCCATGCCCGTTGTGCAGTGCAGTCAGACTTTGCCATTGGGTCTGGATGATAGCTTCAATTATGCCGAGCAGGCTGGTGCCGAGAATCCCTCGAATGCTACCTCCACTAAGATGATCCTTAATCAGCCACCAAAACTGGATTACATACCCATCTTGGTGGCCATTCTAACGGCCTTTGTGTTCATCATGATCTGCACTTCTTTGGTATTTATCTTCCGCCAGGAGATGCGTGTCTGGTGTCATTCGAGATTCGGAGTCCGACTCTTCTACAATGCCCAGAAGGATGTGGATAAGAACGAGAGGGAGAAGCTATTCGATGCCTTCGTTTCGTACTCCTCCAAGGATGAGTTGTTCGTGAACGAGGAACTTGCTCCCATGCTGGAACTAGGTGAACATCGCTATAAACTGTGCCTGCACCAGAGGGACTTTCCCGTTGGTGGCTATCTACCGGAAACCATAGTCCAGGCCATCGACAGCAGCCGTCGAACCATAATGGTGGTCAGTGAGAATTTCATCAAATCGGAATGGTGCAGATTCGAGTTCAAGTCTGCCCATCAATCGGTACTGAGAGATCGTCGCCGGCGATTGATAGTCATAGTGCTGGGCGAGGTGCCGCAGAAGGAACTTGATCCCGATCTACGTTTGTATCTGAAGACCAACACGTATCTGCAGTGGGGCGATAAGTTGTTCTGGCAAAAGCTTCGATTCGCTTTACCGGATGTCTCCTCATCGCAACGCTCGAATGTTACCAGCCAGGGTTGCCATGTACCGATCAACCATGCCGCTTACCATCATCATCATCATGTCCACCAGCAGGCAATGCCACTGCCCCATTCGGTGCACCATCACCAGCAGCAGTTCATGTTGCCACCGCCACCACAGCAACCAGGCAGCTTCCGCCGCCAACCATCGGTGCACCAACAACAACAACAACAGCAGCAGCAGCAACAACTTCGCGGCGGCAATAACAACGCAGCAACGCAGCAGCAGCAACAACAGCAGGCGGCCTTGCTGATGGGCGGTGGTTCGGTGGGTGGGCCTGCACCTCAGATGATTCCCCTGGCGGGTGGCATCCAGCAGCAGAGCCTCCCATTGCCGCCAACCCAGCAACCGACGCCGGCGTCTAGAAATCTGCACATGTGAGTTGGGTTAACACTAAGCCAAGGGGTTAAAGGCAAGGTCAGTGGAGCTAGAGAGAGGGTTAAAGAGCTGTGTTCTATGAACTTTAAAGATTTAAAATATTTAATTATTCTTTAAGAATAATAACTAGATACTTAATATCTTCCCCCCAGAAACAGAAACTATTTCAAAAAGGAAAAAAAAACATTTATTTTAATGATGACCACAAACATTCTTTGGCCATAAAGAAAAAAGGGAAATAGCACAGGCCAAGACCATTTGTACGATCTTGTTCGGTTATGAAAGGTGATCTAGAATATCTGAAAAAGTACTTACCCTCGCGAAAAACAAGTTTAACTTCCTTGGGTTTCCAAATAACAACAGAAAGAGTAGCAAAAGCTATGAAAGGGGAATTGCATTCAATATGCAAATGCGAGCGTTTAGCGATAAAAGCCTAGTTACATGTTAAAATAGCAAAAGTAAAAGAAAAATCGAGTGGGGAAAAGAACACAGGCAACACCGGGTAACAACAATAACAACAACAACAACAAAAAGACAACAGTAAAATAGCTGGCGAGCCAGGCAATTGTTGTTTGTTGGCCCTGTTCTGTTTTCTTACGGCCAGCTATTTTCAGTTTCCTGGCTCGCAGCTAGATTCTGAAAATTGATGTTGCATGCAGCACACCAACAGCAACTGCCAGCTAACAGATACACAAGGCAAAATTTCACATGTCTTATAATGAAAGTTAATTAATAATTTGCAATTAGACATGAACTTTGGAGTTAAAAGATAATTAAGAGATGGCTGAGAGATCTGTAACTTAGAAGGCAGCAAAAACTTTAATGTGAAAGTAACTTTACAGATATTTTTATACACTTTTAGATACAATCATTGATTGGTTATCCCGTTTTTTAACAAATATTTTTATGAATTTTTAAAAGTTCTTATTTATTTCCCTGTGTGTAGTTTCCACACCAACCAGTCAGTCAGCCACAAAAGGCAGCAGGCCCGAAAGTATTTCTCTTGGCTTTATATATTTTTTCTTTTTTTTGTCTGTTACCTCCTTCTTCTCCTTTATTTTGTCGTTTTCCAGTAGATTTTTTTTTTCTGTTTTTTGGTTTTCCCCGTTTGCAACGCTCAGTCGTTAGTTCATCTTAACTGCTGCATTTTGCTATAACAAGCTCGACGTGTGTAGAAGATACACTCGTGTATCTGTATCTGCAGCAGCTGTAGTCGAATACGAATGCCTGTGTATCTGTGTATCTGTGGAAATGTGACTGAGCGCGGGTTGGGAAAAATAGGCAAAGGCTAGCGGCCAATGGCAATGGCAACGCAAAACATCACAGAGCTCATGTCTGGCTAAAAAGGAAAATGGGAAAATGGGAAATGGTAACAAAAAGCAGACCTTAGACGTTAGACGGTTAGAAAACTGAAAACCAAAAACCCAGACCGTCTGCAGACAGTTTCTGCTGTACGGGTTTAAAATTGGTTTTGGTTTTTGTTAGCTTCGTTTTTTTTCTTTTTATGTTTTTTTGTTTTGTTTGTTTGTTTGTTCTCCTTTTGAGCCACAATTACATGTGCTAATCAATGGCAGCAAAAATAGATAGCTCTGGTCGAGAAAGAATTGTGTGTGAGAAGGGAAACAATTGTTGAGGATTTAACTCTGATAAAACGGACTTACATCCAGCAATTAATGCCGGTTAATTGTATCTCAGCATAGCAGCAAGATAAAGTTGTGAAAGACAAGAAAAATTCCCCTATTATAGAGTCACTTCTGCAGATCACGCCAAGCCAAGATTTGATTAGAAAACAAAGCTTTCTTTTTTTTCACTCGCCCTCCGCTAGTCAGAGATTAAGAAGAAGTAGTCAGAATTTCCCAGAGTGAAACTTACAATTGTGACCTTGCTGGCAAAAAAAAAAAAGAAAGAAAGAAAAGAGATACAAGTTTTCCACCTAGCAGCCGTTGGGGAAAATAACAATCCAAGGAAAAGCGTAGGAGAGAGATCACAGCACGTGTATGTGTAAGCTCGCCAAGTTTTCGGCCCCCAAAAGTTGTGTTTTGGCCAAAAATCGACAAGGCCAGTAAAGGAGGAGAAGAACACGAGAACAGAGTCGTATAGATTAGTTTGGTCTTGGCGATTAAAATCTACCTGGTTGTCTGTGCTACGCCCTGCCCCCTCTCCCTCTCCCTCTCTCTATCTTAGACCATCTCCAGCTCCACTGCCTTGGCCAATTTAAAAATGCATTCCAAAAGCAAGAAACAGCTGAAAAAAAAACAAAACTAGTTAACAAAATAGATACACTCGATAGAGAAGGTATCACTAGGCCTGGACTGTGACCAAGCGAGTTAAATGTAAATAAGTTAAATGTTAATCGTACGTTTATATTTGTTTAATCATTGTGATATTTTGTTTTTTAGCATTAAGCACTAATTTATTAAGATGCGTACCATTTTCCTACCAACCTATGTTTAGCCGTAAACTTATCCTCATTAGTTAGTTAGTTTAGTTTAGTAAGTTAATAAATCGAATTGGAAATCATAAAACAAACACCCCGCTCCCGCCTACGATATACAGCCATATTAATTCTATTAAAAAAATTATCAAATTATTGTAAATAAAAGAAAAAAAATGACTGTTTGGTATGCACTAAAAAAAAAAACGAAAAGAAAACGAATTTTGCAACACGAATCGAAACAAATTGAGAACATAAATCGACTGATTACATGTGTACTAAATATAAAATATGCATAAAATTTAATTATGATTTACTCGTCGCTCGTTGTAAATATTGTAACTATCCCCGCACACACAACAAACACACACACACACACACCTATATATGAATATGTATTGTATTTTGTAATTTTATGTTTTCTAGTTTATAGCAAAGAATAACAAAAAAAAAACGAAGAGAAAAACCGAAACACAAAAATATATAAAATGACAAAAAATTGATAAACCAAAAACTGTCTCAATTTTTTTTTTATTCACTTGATTTTCCCAGCAGCAGCAGCAGCAGCAGCAGCAGCGGCAGCACTTCTATTATTATTTTTTCGTCTGCCACTGATAAGCCATAAACTATCTCGCCTTGACATTTGATATGGTTTCTTGATACGGAATCCACGTTCGGATGCGGATTCCAATGCCAGGCAGTCGCTTTTTCTGCCCGCCGATGGGGTTTTTGCTGCTCTGACTCTGGTTTTGTTTATGTCAGAGCGGTGTTCTATTACATTTGGGAGAAAATTTCCAAGATAAACACTAAAATTGCTTGACCATTCCATGACAGATGGCAAAGGGGTACGAGATTTATGGTAAGAGGTTTGGTTAAGAAGTTCTTGGTGACTTGGTGACTTATGATGAAGTTGCATTCTTGTTTCGAGTTTTTGAAAGATTTTTATAGATTTTTAGGTTCTGAATTTCTGAACTGAATTTTTTGGATTTTATGTTAATGCTGAATAACCTTTAAAACTTGTTTATAGAAAGAAGAGAAAACTTTGGTTAAATGCTAAATAAATTAAATAAAAATAAACTCTTAACATTTTTTAGGTTTTTGTACTTAATTCTGAGTTATTTTCACTTTATAAAATATATAAAAATTACATTAATAAATGTTTAAACTTCAGGCATTTATTTTTGATTTATTAATCCTTTTTATTTATTTTTTATCTATTTTTTATCTATTTATTCCAACCCTATTCTACAATAATATTAATAGAACCCCCAAACCTAAGCAAGTTCATGAATTTAATTAGCATTTCCGATTAGATCTTAGCCCATGAATAGTCAGCGCTATCTGGGATTCTCAACAACTCTTCACACCAACCTCGCCACACGCATCCCCCCCCCCCCACACACTCACTCAGTCATCGAATCGAACAACATCCCACGATTGCTCCATTTGAATTAATTTTAAACAGAAAAAGAAAAGAAACCCCTCCCCTCCAGCCCGCCTTCGTATTTATGCTTCTTGGCAAAGATGCGACGATATCTTCCCATGCATATTTTAAAGATATCTATATGGCATTCGTATCTCATCTTGCGGAATTATTGGCTATCGTGTGTTTATGCTAGCTCTTCGCTGCTTTTATTTGAGTCAATGAGCCACCAGTCGAAAAGCAAAGCAAAATATTTTTGCTGCCTGGCCTGGAAACGAGTTCTCTCTTCCAGCAGCTCCCATCTCTGACCATCTCCCAAGTTCCCGATGAATGAATAATTTTTATGATCAATTAAATGCGCAATAAAATTGATGAGGGCCCCCACCGCCGAAACATAAATTCACATTGCTTAAATTAGCGAATTTTACAATCAATCATTAGCGGGCCAGTGGATCGACAAACGGCCTTTGATGTGCAACTTTAGAACGGAGGATGTTCCCCCGCATCTAGTAACTCGTATCTGGTATCTGGTAACTGGTATCTGCTAGATACACATATGTCTGTGGCCTAAAACATTCAATGGCCTGAAGTTTAAGACCGGGACTAAACCCTTTTCAATATTTTCATTTCCCTCATCGCTCAATTCGGTGCGGTGGGGTTTGGGTTTTGGGTTCGAAACAGAAAACGAAAACCTAGAAAACTTTGCAAAAAAAAAAGCACGTCAAATATTAAAAACTTTTCTTTGCTTTTACTTTCTCCAAAACCCGCTGGCATATATACGAATACACCACATCCTCTTTCTACACACACACACACTCAGTCGTATATCTCTTCCCGTTTTCCTTTATTTTATCAATTTTGCCTGTGGGATTTGTTACAAAGTAACGGATGAGTTGAAGTGGGAAAAGGGACGGAGTGCAGACACCGCCAATCCAAGAGGAAAACTTTCAATTGAATTTTTTTGTTCACGTTGTTTCCTTTCGGGGTAAGGAAAGTTTAGAGGCCCGTTTTTTTTGTTGGGGTCGGGGTTTCGGATGCCGGGGTCTTTGGGGGTGTTCCGTCTGTCATTTGGCATACGCAGCGAAAAGAAGTCGACGTAAATATTTCGGTTTACAAGTCAGTTTAGTGTCAAAAGAGATGCCTTTTATTTATAGATTGGCCTCGCTGAACTTTGGCTTGAACTTGGCTATAAGCAGGGCTGTACTTTTCGATTGGGTAAGGTAATAATGGAACAAAATGCAAAAATTCTTATAACAAAAACCCTCAAGAAGTTCTCTGAATTGGGATTTTTATAATCCGTAAATAAACTAAAATACTTGAAAAGATCTTAATATGGATAAAAATGGTGAAAGTTAAAAATCAAGATTTATATTTTTAATATTTTCTTAGTATAGAAACTTTTTTAAAAACCTTTTTTTACCCATCTCTAGAGCAACAGCCCCTGAGCCACCGTGAACCGCTCCTGTGACCCCATTTTCGACACAGGTTTGCTTCTTGGCCGAAACCTCCATCAAAAAATTTCCCTGACTGCAGTTTAGAAGTTTTTTATTCGCTCTGGACTTTTTTTTTTCCTTGCCATTCCTTTTTCGAGGCCCAAAGTCAAATCAAAGTGCTTGGCCCGCGCTAAAGCTTAGTGCTAATGCCAGAGCCATCAGTCTGAACTTTTGGGCCATCTATCAAAGGCTGAAAGGGAAAGGCAAAAGGAAAATCGAAGGGGCAATCTCATTAGAAGACCTCGTCTGCGGCATCAAACACTTTTCCTATATGCCAAGAAGGCTATGCAGAAGAAGCAGGAGAAACAGGCACCAAAATATATTTTCCCATATGCAACCGCCGCATGAAGAGCCGTCAATTAGGTAGCCACCCAATCATTGCACCCACCACTTGCCTCATTAGACTCCAAACGAATCGAGAGTCGTAAAACTTGGCTACCATTTCTGCTCCCTGAAGCCTCTCTAGGCAGATCGGACCGACCCGGCCGTGGCCATGTATAAATAAATATGCTTTTATTGGAAGACGACTACAACTGTTTGCAATAAAAGCAACATTTTTCTTAATTTCCATTTCTTGCTAATTTACCAGCCATAAATTTGCCCGCCCGTCTACCCCGTGGGCAATGAAGTAACCAATGGTGGTGGTAGGGAGGGGTGTGGGGTTACCGAAACAAGCGGAGCTGAACCAACCGATTCGACGGTAGACACATAAAATTGACTACAAATTATTGCACATTGTCAAAACAACATTGGTTTGCAATTTTCGCGCTTCAACGCAGATGCAAAGAGATAGTCCCTGGCGATTTTGTAGGGGTATTGGTCAGAAGGGGAGGGGGGATTTTACCGAAGTAATGCCGACTCGTAGAGACAGTCCAGGGGTTGGGGTAAGGCGGTGATGGAGGGTGAGAGGTATAAAATAATCAGGTAAGGGGAGTTAGGTATGTGGAAATACTCTGCCATTCTAGGGGTATGTTTTTATCGCCACTAATTCTGAGCATTTTGTGGAAAATTTGATATTTGTTACGGGAATTTGGAAACTAAAGATTTAATGGCGTGTAATTAGATTGAAGTTTTTATGCTTAATTATAGAAAAATTAATTTAGGCTTAAAATTGGAAAGGTTTTAGTACTTAAAGAGAACGAATTTGGTTAGAAAATGTAACATAAATCGCTTTATAATGTTTAGGAATTAAAGAAAATATATAGTTTTTGGGTTAATTTATATAATTTATATAAATCAAAAATATTTCATTTTTAAAATCCAAATTTCTATGGTTTAATGGAGCCTCTATTTATTTTTAAGCTTGTTTTAAAGACAAATATTGGACTAACAAATAACTTTTAATAAAACTGTTCCTAGTCCCGTCATAGAGCATTCTCCCATCGGCTTAACCCTTTTAATCCCACAAATTTTTTACAGTTACCTACGATAATTTGCGCTGCAAATGGTCATATGCAACTGTGAAATGGCAAATGGAAAATGGGTTTAGGTTTATGGCCAACGACCAACCCCGTCATCATCATCATCATCATCGACCACATGGAAAACCGAGTAAGAGATTCATCGAGTGGAGCAAATCGGTATAGTGGGATGTAAGGCAGGG